CCTCAATCCCTGTATCCTGAAGCCCTGTTATTCCAAGGTTGTGCATACATCGTCATTTACCTCTGTTCCACCTAGCCCATGCGAGCCTGCCCAACCATTCTTCCCTCCACCTTGTTCTTCCCCCGCCCCCTTATGTATTGCCAGCCCCCCGGCTCCCAGACTCTCCTGTGTATTCCCTACCCTGTGCTCTTTCTACCCTTCCCTCCCTCCCCGCCTCTCATCCCATACATACTGGTGATCAGCACTTATATATATATATAGATCCCCCCACCCCTTTTGGGTGGGTTCTTTTTCTTAGTCATGTACAATAATGGTCTTATGCAGTATTTCTCCTTTTGTGACTGACTAATTTCACTCAGCATAATGTCCTCAAGGTTCATCCATGTCCAGTGATTTTTGCATTTTGTTGGGTCACCTGTCTTTGGAATGGACACAGATATAGATCTCTTTCAGTCAGTTGACCAGGTAGCTGTCTTTCAGATTTCTTGGCATTGATGAGCGTGTGCCTTTAGTGCTGCATTAGTTTGTGGAAAGATTTCAATTTGTAGTACATCAATTCCCGGTGCCTTATTCTTTCCCAGTACCTTCAATGCACATTGGACTTCTTTCTTAAGTACCATTGGCTCTTGATCATGCATTCTCTTGAAATGGTTGAGCATCATCCATTTGTTTTTGGTACAATAACTGTATGTGTTGCTTCCATCTTCTTTTGATATTGAATCATTCAATATTTTGCCCATAGAACCCTTCAGTATTGCAAGTCAAGGCTTGATTTTTTTCCGTAGTTCTTAGTTTGAGAAACGCTGAGTGTGTTCTTCCCTTTAGTTTTCTATCTCTGGGTCTTTGCACATTTCATTGTAATATTTGCCTTTGTCTTCTTGAGCTGCCCTTTGAAATTTTCCATTCTGCTCTTTTACCTCTTCATTTCTTCCATTTGCTTTAGCATCTCTATGCTGTAGAGCAAGTTTCAGAGTCTCTTCTGACATCTATTTTGGTCTTTTCCTTCTTTCTTGTCTTCTTAATGATCCTTTGCTTTCTTCCTGTAGATGTTCTTGATGTCATCCCACAACTCTTTTGGTTTTCAGTCATTAGTGTCTAATGCATCAAATTTGTTCTTCAGATGACCTCTACATTCAGGTGGGATATGTTCAAGGTCGTGTTTTGGCTCTGTGGACTTGCTTTAATTTTCTTCAGCTTCAGTCTAAACTTGCATATGAGCAGTTGATGATCTGTTCCACAGTCTGCCCCTGGCCTTGTTTTGGCTGATGATATGGAGTTTTCCACCTTCTCTTTTCACAGATGTAGTCAATTTGATTTCTGTGTATTCCATCTAGATAAGTGGTGGTTCTGATATAATTAGAAGAAAACAGTAATTCCTTATCCCTTAATGATCCCATTATAAACATTATAAATGACTGTGTTGTCTCCATATTATATAAATTCCTTTAATACTTAAAACTGTGCCATAAATACACATTGTTGTTGTTGTTAAATGCCTTCAAGTTTATTTTGACTTGTAGCAACCCAGTATAGGGTGTCCAAGGCTTTTAAAAATCTTTTAGGGAGCAGCAAGCCTCATCTTTCTCCTGAGACTGGCTGGTGGGCTTGAACTGCAGACTTTGTGGTTTATAGTCCAGTGCTTATTGTACAGAAGCATCACACTTCCATCAGTCTGCATACTACATCCTTAGCTCATTGATTCTTGTTTTTCTTTATTTATGCAAATGAGCAAAACCAGTATGTGAAAAGTGATTTATCATTATTACATCATACTGGTTTCTCCTTAGTATTATTTGTGTGTTTTGGTTTCTTAATCCAATATGTTAGTAATAATGATTTTTCTAGTCAAAATAGGCTAATGATGAATTTTCAGAAAATTTATATAAAAGTTATATAAAATAAAAGTGAACTTATATTTTGTCAAGAGGTTATTTATTCACCAAGTGTATCTGTTCATATGTGTTAGGTTTCAAGCTATAGAAAACCCAATTCAAGGTGACTTACGTAGAGGGTATTTACTGGCTTGTATAATGGAAAGGCTGGAGGTGGGATTGTGCTGAGTAGAGCCAGGAAAGGAGTCGTCATCCTCCAAAGGATAGGGCTGGAGGAGGAAGTACAGAATCCTTAGTAGAACTAGGTGGTTATCAGAAGAGGAAGTGGGTGAAGAGCGACAACCACAGTGCTCACTGTGGCCTGTGATTTGAAGTCATTTGTTTCCCATTTATGAAAGTGCTTGAGTTTTGTCTCGTCTTTTTTCCTTCAAGTTTTCTTCTTTTTTTCTTTAGGAGTGGCTACAACAACCAAACGGACGGGCATTCCAGCTCCACGGGAACTTTCGGTAGCTGTCCCAAGAGAAAGATCTGTGCCACGTGGTCCCACCAACCCCAGGAAATCCGGGTCCAGTCCAACTTCTTCTAGCACACCTACCCCTACCAAACACCTGAGGACCACTTCCACAAAAACCAAGCAAGATAATGAAGGTTCAGAAAAGGCTGTGCTTGAGTCTCATATTCGGGAACTTTTGGCAGAAGCCAAAGCAAAAGATAGTGAAATAAGCCGGCTTCGAAGTGAACTAAAGAAATGCAAAGAAAAGAGAGCCTTGAACACTGATGGAGTTGATGCTTTGGACCTGAGTGCAGATGGAGTCCCCATCTCACCAGACGACACAGAGCCTTTGATAAGAGTGCTGGAGGAGAAGAACAAGAATTTTCAGAAGGAGCTTGCTGATCTAGAGGAAGAAAACCAGGCCTTGAAGGAGAAACTGGTTTACCTTGAGCACTCACCAAACTCAGAAGAAGGAGCAAGTCACACTAGCAGCTGCCCAACATCTCTAACTCAAGAGTCAAGCTTCGGAAGTCGGACTGGGAATCAGCTTGCAGGGGAAATAGATGAATATAAAAAAAACACCCATGAAAATGCATTAAGAACATCCGATTCTTCAAGTAGTGATGTTACCAAAGCTTCCTTGTCACCAGATGCCTCCGATTTTGAGCACATTACAGCTGATACCCCCTCTAGACCTGTATCTGCCAACAGCAACCCCTTTAAGAGCTCGAAGTGTTCTACCACTGGGAGTTCCCCCAACAATATTAGTGAATTGTCTCTGGCCTCCCTTACTGAGAAGATACAAAAGATGGAAGAGAATCACCACAGCACAGCAGAAGAATTGCAGGCGACTTTGCAAGAATTATCAGACCAGCAACAAATGGTGCAGGAACTGACGGCTGAAAATGAGAAACTGGCAGATGAGAAGACTATTTTGGAGACATCCTTTCATCAGCATCGAGAGAGGGCCGAACAATTAAGTCAAGAGAATGAAAAGCTGATAAATCTTTTACAAGACCGAGTAAAGAATGAAGAGCCCAATGTCCAAGAAGGAAAAATCCTTGAACTGGAACAGAAATGCGCAGACATTCTTGATCAGGGCCGCTTTGAAAGAGAGAAGCTGCTCATCATTCAGCAGCAATTGACCTGTAGTTTACGGAAGGTTGAGGAAGAAAACCAAGGAGCCTTAGAAATGATTAAACATTTGAAGGAAGAAAATGAAAAATTGCATGGGTTTCTAGAATTGGAACGGCATAATACTAGTGTAATGGCCAAAACTTTGGAAGAATGTAGAGTTACCTTAGAAGGACTGACCATTGAAAATGTGTCTTTAAAGGCTCAATTGGAAAGTGACGAGCAGAAAGCTACAGAGACCAGTTCCCCAGGGCGAACGGCAGAGAGCTGTGAAGTTCAAGAAATGTTGAAAGTAGCACGTGCTGAGAGAGATCACCTGGAACTGTCTTGCACTGAGCTCAAACAAGAATTACTAAAAGCAAATGGTGAAATTAAACATGTGTCAAGCCTCCTAGTCAAGGTAAGAAAAATCTCTTTACTGATTCTTCATCATCCTGGTTAGCTTCCTCTCCTGAACCTTTATATTCATAAAGCGGAAAGAACCATTTGCTCAGTCTACTTCATTCTTGAATCCAACATTCAAGCTTGAATACTGATTAGATTCCAGACAGGTTGGCATTGGAGATACAAAAATGAAACATCCAAATGTTATGACTTTTAGCAGTTTAGGATCTATTTGGGGATGTAGTAAATCCCAGCAGTGATTTTGATGCAGTTGTAAGGAATATCGTTGAGGACAGTGCAGAGTCAAGTAGAGGAGGGAAACCAGCTTCCATTGAGTTGATTCCAGCTCATAGTGATTGCATGTATGTCAGAGTAGAACTGCGCCCCATAGGATTTTCAGTGAGTGATATTTTTGGAAGTACATCACCAAATCTTTCTCCTAAAGCACTTCTGGATGGACTCAAACCTCCAACCTTCAATTCATAGCCAAGGATATTAACTGTTTCTACTACTCCTAGAAGTCTGCTTCTGAAAAGTCAGCGATTGAAAACCCTATGTAAAATAGTTCTCCTCTGACACACATTGGCTCACCATGAGTTGGAACTGATTTGATTGATGGCAGGGAAGGAACACCTAATCTAATATGGAAGGAAGGGTGCAGGACAGGAGGACTTCTTGAAAGAAGTTTTAACTTAAACAGATGCTTGGAAATTGAGTGAGAGTAGTAAGGTTTATTAATCAAGATGCTTATGACTACTAGTAACAGAAAATTGAAATAGCTCGGATTTCCCCATCAAGTAATAAGATAACCACTAGTTTGATGTTTACTTCCAGCTATGTATGTATCTCACAAATTAAAGAAGAAGCAAAAAAAAATTTTTTTTTAGAATAGTCCTGTCCATGTTAAATTTTTTGGTAGAATCATCTGTATATATTAACACTCCCCACCCCCCCTTTTTTTTTTTTTTTTGTAGAATCATCCTGTACATGTTAACCTTTATTTTGCAATTAATATTTCTTCTCATTGAATATTCTTTTCCACAGAATTTGAAAGCCAGGTAAAAACTGAAATGCAAACCCAGTCAGTCTGACTAATGGTGACCCTGTGTGTTACAGAGTAGAGCTGCTCCCAAGGGTTTCCGTGGCTGTTGTCTTTACTTGACAACAGTGGGTAATCTGTACAGATGCACACTGCTAGGCCTTTGTCATGGTATCTCTATGTGGGTGCAAACCGCCAACCTTTAGGTTAGTGGTGGCAGTTGTGTGCCGTCTAGTCGGTTCTGACTCTTAGTAACCCTGTATAGGGTTTCTAAGACTATAAATCCTGAAAGGAGCAGAAAGACTCATCATTCTTCTGTGGAGCAGCTGGTGGATTTGAACTGCTGCCCTTGAGGTTAGCAGTGCAGTGGGGAACCCACTACAGCACAAGACTTCTTTACGATAGTACAGCACAAAAGCCAGATGGTGGTGTTATCAAGCGCTGTCGAGACGATTCTGACTCATAGTGACCCTCCAAGGAGTGGCTGGTGGGCTTGAACCACCAACCTTGTGCTTCCCAGTCCAGTACTTATCCTATTGCGCACCACCAGATGGTACTCTGTTATATACATATTTCATAGTTTACTCTACTAATCCCGTTTTTGAACAGTTTTCTTTCAGTCTTGTAAATACTTTTCCTTTTTTTTTTTGTATCTCTGCTTATTTCTTTAGGAAAAATTCCTAGACGTTGACTTACCAAGTCAATTGGTAGGAGCATTTTAAAGACTTGTAATACATTTAGCCAAACTGCCCTCCAGAAAGATTATGTCAGTTTGTTACCATGAGTAGTTCATGAGACTACTTGTTTCTCAGCCCTTGCCAGCATTTAATACTAAATTGTTGCCATTCAAATCTCTTCATCATTTCCTTTTTCATTTTCTTTTCTTTCTTTAATAAATCTGGAATTTCGTTATCTGATGTAAGATTGGTGGTGATGGTAACAATGGCGTAATGTTCTGCCCACCTCAAAGAGCGTTTTCTGTTTCTTGTATGTTCTGGGCCTGTGATTTGCAAAAGAACTAATGGGGGAGGTTAAAGCATCTTCGCACCTTCTCACTGTTTCAAGAAGCAAATCATGCCATGAGCACCCAGAGAGATTGTGCTCTACTGCTTCACCTGCCTTATAATCAATCAGTTCAAAACAGATTCTGGATTCAGCTCTGATAGTCTTAATGATGGATACTGTTATTTATTACTATTATTATCTTTGTCAGTGTTTTAATTTCATAAGTATTTTATTGAAAGCATGGAAGCAATTTCATTAGCAGTCATTTGAACTGTAGATTGGTAACTATAGCTTTGCACAAGATTTCACTGTTTTTTATGGAATAAACACTCCCCCAAACTATTCATAGGAGTTCCTGGGTAGTGCATGTTAACGATCTCAGCTGCTAACCAAACAATGGAGGTTCATCCAGTGGATTCTTGGAAGAATGTCCTGTCTGTTTACTTCCCCAGAACCAGCTATTTAAAACCTGATGAATCACAGGTCTACTGTGACAGACATGGGGTCACCATGAGTCAGGGTTGACTCGATGGTTACCAGTTTTCCATTCCTCTTTTGAAAATATTTAATCTTCCAAGTGATCTTCTTGAACTTCTGCCTAACTTTTTCCTCTGTCTCTTCGGTATTTTGATTGGCATTACATTAAACATTAAGTATCTCTGAGATATAATTTGATGTCTTAAAAAATAGCTTGTTATTTCTGATCATAAAATTGCATACTCATTATAAAAGAAAGTACACAAAAGTATAATGAAAAAAATACATATTACCTTTAATCTCACCACTTGGAGGAAAACATTGCTAACATTTTACTCATGTGTCTGCCCTTTCAGACTTTGTTCCAGTTTATGCACGTTTGGACATGCATTCAAAATTGTATGGGCATAATTGCAATGTTTACTCTCTGTGTCCACAATAAATGGGACGAGGCATTCTGCTTCCATAGGTTTACAGCCTTGGGAACCCAAGGGTACAGTTCTGCTGTGTCCTATATGGTTGCCGTGAGTCAGAATCAACTAGATGAGCAGGGGTTTGCTTAAGCCAGAAGAAAAGAGGACATTGTCTTCACAGTCCATGAATACAAAGAGCCAGCTAGATTAATTTATCAATTCATTTTCAGATTTCTTTCTTTATCATTAATAATTCTATCATTCTGCTTTTCATACATTTCTTGTTCTCTTCCTATGACTGATTTTGGGAGCTTGAGTAGGCCTTCTTTACATTGTGCATTGTTGAATACAAGTGTGATGGTGGCTTATTTGTAGGCATTTGGTAGGCACCCCTTAGTAGGTGGTACAGGTATTCTGTATTGTAAAGAGGTGTTTTGTTTTGTTTGCTTCTTTTTAAATAAAGAATGAGGATTGGATTTTTCAACATCTACTGATATGGTCTTATAGTTTCACGTCATTTTTTTTCCCTTTAGTTTGTTAATGAGGTGAATTACAACAACAGATTTCTAAGGTAGTCTAGTGTTGAATCATCTTTGCATTCCTGGGGTAAATCCTAATTCCTCAGTTTTCAGTTTTTCTCACTTGACATTTTTGCATAGGCGTTTCAAATATAACCATGTTAAGCAGATGTCAAAGTGACTTTTCCTTGTGCAGTGCATTCGTCTGCTCTGATTCTTGGCAAAAGGTGAACACTTAGAGTAAAGGCCAAAGTAACCAACCTATTTACAAAGGGGGAAAGCAACATCAAACCATCAGATGATCTCATAGATTCAGTAAATGTACACACATTTCCTAATTAGGTAAGACTTAAATGACTTAGATATTGTTAGAAGAAGCTTTGAAAGTCCTTAAGATGTAGTTTTTAGGGGACAGGGGGAGTTATGGGATCTCTTCCTCATAAAATAAATGGAAAATTGGTAGAACTTTTCCATGAATTACTTGAGTGTTCTATAGGCTCTTCCTGTCCTTGATGGAATCCTGGTGGTGCCATGGGTTAAGTGTTAGGCTGCTAATAGCAATGTCAGCATTTCAAATCCACCAGCCACTCCTGTGAAGCTGTCTACTCCTGTGAAGATGTATCATCTCAGAACCCCATGGAGCAGCTCTGTGTCAGGATCAATTTGATGGCAATGGGCATTGGGGGATTTCCTCTCCTGGTGTGGTGCTGTGGGCTAATGTGCTGTATTGTAAGGTCAGTTTGAACCGCAAGGTTGGCGGTTCAAATTCACCCGCCACTCCTTGGAAACCCCATAAGGGTTGCAGTGAGTCGGAATCAAACTCGACAGCACTTAACAACAACTATTCATTTCTTTATCTTCAGCTGTCTGTTAATATCTTCATGCTTCCCAGCTTTTCCACATAGACTCTGCTGGCAGGTTAATCTATGATCACTTATGACCATGTAACATACTCTGTATAATTTTGAGGAAGGGTCGAATTCTTACAGATCCCAAATGCCTCAGCCTCCTGTAACCACACATGTATCTGCCCTGGCCAGTGAGCAGCGTGCGGATACATGAAGTTACTATTTGCCCAGAGACAAATGCAACCCAGGTATAAGCCATTTCTCTGTCACCGTTTCAGTTGCTGAGGCTCTTGGTTTCAAGTTATGATACCTTTACTAGGATGAAAACCTAGATGTTTTGAAAGAAAAATGCTGATTTTTCCCTGTGAGATCAAAACCTAGTTTTTTGTATAGAAACTCCAGGATCTCTTTCAGAGTAGTCAGGAGATGATAAGTAACCACTTTCTCTGAGCGGTCAAGCAGTGTGTGACTATTATTGATAATGAAGCCAAACTGACTAGGGTCACCACTGACCAAAAATTGCGAAACCAGAATTTGTGAGAAAGATGTGGCAAATAGATATCCTGCTGTCTTGATTTCATGATTAGGTGGTTGTTAGTTGCCACTGAGGTGGTTCCAACTCATCAGAATAAATCTCCTTGAAGGACTTAAGAGACCTGGAAACCAGATTTAAATAAGTGAGTTTACCCAGCTGGTGCTTTGGGCCCTATCTAGTA